TCTTTTTTTTTTTTTTTTTTTAATCTCCATGCAGCTAAACTGTGCATCATTTTCCATTGCTTTGGCACAAAATGCACTCCGTTGCACATGTTTACATATTATTTTCAAAACTTAACTTCAAAGCCTAACATAATACAAAACCGAGTAAGACAGCAATTTGCTACATTTCTACAGTAATACCATATTGACATATATTACAGATTTAAATAATGAAATAATATCAAAACAATTAGTCTTTCAATTTCATTACCATTTATACAAAAGGTGAAACTTATGAATAATTTTGTACTTTAATGTAAACATGGAATTTCTTGCAACGCAGGCTTTTATGAAGCATGGTAAATAATGAAGTAAACTAATCACCCATTGTTTTGCAGGTTACACTTTCAACACAGTGACAGACACACAAACACTTTCTCTTCAGTGAATTAGTTTTGCTGCATTAGGGTTTGGCTTCAGTTCTGTGTTGATGAATCAAGCAGCAGAAACAGTCTTAATTATCATTTTAAGAGGAAGTTAAAACAATAACCTCAATACATCCTACATCCTAAAACGTATGATTTAATGAAATAAAAGTCCAAACGTAGCACTGTTTTGCATTTTACAGGCTCACCGTTTCAGAACAGTTCTCAGTCAATGAATACTGTGCTTTTATGTCAATAGATTATTGAATTATGACAGTGTTTACTTTATGGTGATTATATTTGAATATATTGTAGAAGGTTGTAATTGTGCATATTTTATCTCCCTCATCTGTTTGAATGAGCAGCTAGAAGTAGTAAAGTATAGACCTTTCAAAATAAAAGTCCTGGTGTATTTTGGGCTTGTTTATAATTAAAAATTTTTTTTATATTATCTTTATAGTCCCAGAAAGCAAAGACTAAAAACATTATTTAACATGCAATGTATAGATATTACAACAATCAGAACAATAATCTTTAAATATCAGCAAAGTCCTGCATCGACTGACCTCTAATTCTTATGTACTGATATATTACTTCTATATATTTAGTAAAACACGTCTTGAGAATTTCAAACTTGCAATAACACTGTTTTGAATTTTAATGTGCTGCAGCCTGTTTAATCTAGATCTAATGCAGGTCTTAAAAACTCTTCTATTTGATTCAGGAAATTCTGCAGAGACCCTAAAGTAGACTTTCTCAGCGAAGGGCTTCTCTTACAGGAAAACGAGCCCTTCTGCACAAATGTACTTGTGCTGAATGCTTTGTGCTCTTGCATGGTGCTTTTCAGAGACCTGTGAAGACGTGAGAGTAAAACAATGAAATGCATTGCATTTATGCATGCATTATTTTGAGTTATTATGAAATGAACGCTTAGCAGAAATAAAACATGTTGTGCATGTGCAACAAAGAGCTCTTGACATCAATATGTTTACCCTCTATGTCTTTCTTTATACTCTATCATTGTTTAGCATGTGATATTGAGGCGTATTAAAGCACATCTCTGTCTTTCCTCTGTTTCTTTAGGAGATGACTTATCTTTGTATCCCAGCAGCAGATTCGCCCACACAAAACCTGTGAGTAGGCATGCATTTCTGATGGGCTCGTTCACTAATAGCTATCCGATCTCTCTCGGCCGCCAGTGGGCAGCGCGAGTCATTGTAGCAACATGAAGATGTAAATGCTTTTTATAAACAAACGCTTTATAAGTTCTGCATTCACACATGCTCTTCCCTCTTGTCTTTTCCTCAGTCTTCACTAACACTAACGCTGTGATGTTAGTTTTTCATGCCATATCAAACTAGTTACACCCTTGAGCGCGCATT